TTATTGCCTCTTTATTAAGTAACATTTGATTCTATCTACTCTTTCCGTTTCTAAATATCTGTCGTTTAAGGTTTTTGTACAAGGATTAAGAAAGCTATTAAATAGCTCTAATATAAGTAAAAAATAATTGCACAAAACTAAAATATCCTTATTCAATACGTATTAGGAAGGAAAGAAATATGAAAGACACTTAACCTCTACTTAATCTAATTCATTGAAAAGTTAAGGATAAATTTGAAAGAAAAAATATTACTTATGCTTTGATTTAATTAAACAATAGATATTATGGAACAAAAAAATATTGTGTAAAACGACAGAAATTTAGAAATGGAGGGAGTAACTGTTATCTCATACGTTGATGTCCATGCCTAAAGTCTCTTATGTCTGTTAGATTTATCTACCATTTCTTATTCTTTTGTTCTTTAACTCGGGTGGGGTTTTGAAGCCAGCAAATGGACAAGCATCTTGGCAGAGATCGTGGTATGTGCCTAAGTCTTGGATTATCCCCCTCACTTTTTTTTTTCTCATATTATTGGCTCCTTTACCATTTGGCTGGTGTCGAAATGATTTTTAACAACTGTCAGAGAGTGCGGATAGACAGTCCATGAGCTTAGCATTTGCTCTCGAAGAAGAGGCTGAAGTGTTAGGATTATTTGTTGATAAACTTCGTTTGTTGCGGCTCCAATTATCATAAAATCTTTGGGACCAAAAGTTCGGTTGAAAGCTCCTTCACTTGTTTGTACAATACTTGTTTTTTTCTGACCTTATAAAAGCCAGAGATCATGGACTAGAGTGACATGGTACTTCTTTAGATTATTCTCAATTATACAAAGGATTACAAAATAGACTACTTGTGTATAAACTAATGTCCATATTATCAGCTAGGATTTCAACAATATCTATATATATATATATATATATATATAATAAAACATATAACAACTTGAATTTTTATCCTTTACATATTTTTCCCTCTAAAAATATCACATCACTTATTTTTATCACACGTTAAATCATGTAATATTTGATTAATTTATAGTTAAAATAATTTTTATTTCAAATATTATTCATATACGATAGTATACACGTGTTGAAAAATTTTAATATAGTGGGAAAAATTCTATCGTGTGTTCAAGTATGAGTTATGACTATATATATATATATGAAGAAGGATTGCAAGGTGAAAAATCTTTCAACTTGTTAGTGATCAACATAGGATAAAAGCATGTAAAGGATACAACTGATTGGATCCCTATTATCCTGGTTTCTTTAGAACTCATAGTATCATGTCCTATATAGCAATGAATTAACTGATCATGTTCATTTGTTAACTCAAAGATTGTTTTTTCAAATTTGGTATTCATTTAATCTAAAATGACTAGCTTACAAAAAAAGTATGATATGGACTCCTAAATTTTATGGACTCTTAAATTTTATGGTTTGCTCGTTTTGCAGGAAGAAAAGATTGAGAGATCAAGTTCAGATACACTATTTACCTGAAAGTAGCAAACTGTAATCTAGTGGGAGGTAATTTCATTTTTTGCCTCATACAGTTACTGTAAGTTGACCTTGTCAAATTGATGTTATAATATATGGCAATTTTGAATCTCCGGACGTTTTGTATAATATCTTGTTCGATTTAGTTTTTTATTTCTTCTATTTTCAGATTTAATGTCCGTTCAATGAATTTAAACATATATTCAATTTTATACCAAGACCTACACATAGAGGTTTGTATATTTCAGTGGCATCTGTCTATAAATTCGTTGGAAAGAGAAAGAATTGCCTTTGGTTTCAAAATGGTGATAATCACTCTTCTTAGATCTAACAACCGATTTCGTTTTAGAAGTTGATATTATATATAACTCAAAATTACTCAAGTTGCCCGTGAGTACACCAACTAGTTATTATAAAATTAATGATACCTACATAATAGTTTCATTCAATTTTTATTTCTTATACCAATTGACTTCCAAGTTCTTTTGGATTATTTTATTAACCTTATTTGACTTCTAAATTCTTCATTAATTTTATTCAATTTTTATTTCCTATACCTATTTGATTTCTAAATTCTTTTGGACTTAATATCAATATTATATGAATTCTAAATTCTATTGGTCTCATTTATTAGTAGTACACTTGTATGTAGTTTTCTATATTTATGTCTATTTTTATATGAAGAAATAAAGTCGAATTATAATCTACTATTATATGCATGTAGTTGTCGGATTGGATTCTACAATTAAATATATCATTTTTTTTGTATGCAACTATATCATATTATTATAATACAAACAATAGTATTGTAATTTAATCAATTTATTTGACAAGAAATGTAATAAATCTGCAATATAATTAGATATACAAATACTCAATAATGATAATCTTATAATAAAACTTCATTTAAACAAAAATAAAATAAAATTGCCTAATGGATCGGGGAGATACCTAAACAACTAACATATTAGATACTCAAAGAGGGGTAGAATAGATCACTAATTATGTTTAGCAATAGTTAAAAATAAGAATTAATTATTCCACACATAATATATCATTCAATTTAATTACATATATAATTTGAATTTATTCAAAAAAATATTATTTAAATATATTCACATTCAACGCACGTCATGCATTGCTAGTATTAACAAAGTGGAATTCACTTGCTTATTTTTTTATTTATCATTGGACGGTTACATCATGTGTCAATGCTGACTTATGTAACTATTACACCCAATATTTACTGGACATTAGCAATTTTGATAGTATATACTACTGAAGTGTAATTTTTTATTAACATAAATGCGATCACACTTTTTTTGAGTTTGTGACCACAATGTAAATTTCGAATATACTCACTCGTTCTAAAATTGTATACATCAGACTAGATGCAAAATTAAATTTAAAACCTCGAAAAAAAAGAATAATGGTACACAAACTTAAAAATCTAACCTGATGATGTGACTGTTATATTTGTCGTTAATTTTACTGTATCTCTTATTATTTATTATGATCCACTACCTATTCAACGATAGTGATTCATTACGTTAGTTTTTTTTAAGTCTATTTAGTATTTTAACCCCTCAGTACTTTTCATTTCAACAAACCCTTGCATGGGAAAAGATCAATGTTAATCACTTGGCACCCTAAATCTAAGAAGACGCAAGCAAATATTTGATTCTTGCTTTATTTATTTATTATGTATNGACTTAATATCAATATTATATGAATTCTAAATTCTATTGGTCTCATTTATTAGTAGTACACTTGTATGTAGTTTTCTATATTTATGTCTATTTTTATATGAAGAAATAAAGTCCAATTATAATCTACTATTATATGCATGTAGTTGTCGGATTGGATTCTACAATTAAATATTTCATTTTTTTTGTATGCAACTATATCATATTATTATAATACAAACAATAGTATTGTAATTTAATCAATTTATTTGACAAGAAATGTAATAAATCTGCAATATAATTAGATATACAAATACTCAATAATGATAATCTTATAATAAAACTTCATTTAAACAAAAATAAAATAAAATTGCCTAATGGATCGGGGAGATACCTAAACAACTAACATATTAGATACTCAAAGAGGGGTAGAATAGATCACTAATTATGTTTAGCAATAGTTAAAAATAAGAATTAATTATTCCACACANTTACCTTAAACAACTTCCTTGTTCTTCCTTCTTAATCGCCTTTGGCCTTCAGCAGTTGCCTAGTCATCCTTTGTTCGGACAGAGTTTGTTATTGATCCCACATTTTGTGGAATCAGAGTTCCTTTCCGGGTACTAATATGTTTGAAGTGTTATTGATTATGACTCTTATATCTCTACTAGATGAACACATCCGGCTCGAGCATGTTCGATTCTGGTTTGCTGACTCTTAAATTTGCTCGGTTAGACTCGTTTGGCTTGGCCAGAGACACTTTGTCCCACCAAAAGACCCTCTCTATTACTTTGCATGTGTTACTTGTCATGTGTCTTTATTAAATGGTCTAATCATAAACAGATATATTCTGAATCCCCTTTCTTTCTCTCTCTTCACTTTTCATCCATTAAGTAGATTTTTCAGTTTTTTCAAGATTTCTAAAAAATAAACTATAGAATTAAAAGAAGAGTTATAGATATTCNCTTGCTAGCTTGAGAGAACTCAAATCATTTTCCATAGTCATCCTTTTTTGTGTTCTTGATGTTTATAAAAAAATGAAGGGTAAAATAGAGTAAGAACTCTTAAAATATACATTTTGTATTACTTTGGTTTTCATTCTTTTAATTGTATCATTTGAGTTTTGTAAGTTTTTAATTTGTATCATTTTGATCTAATATAAAAAACGATGGTTTACGTGGACTAGTGGAAATCTTCACACATGTCTCATGTGACTACCTTAAGAGGTCACTTTGGTCCTTCAAGTTTGTAATATGTGTCATTTTGGTCATTCACGCTTGTTATTTTAGGACTAAAAATATATTTGCCCAAAAACTAAACTCAGAGTACTTGACTACTCGCTAGCTAGTTTCATTTATGGGTGTTAAAATATAAATACTTAAATTACATTCTTTTCAACAACTTGAATTTTTGGAGTAAATGATTGTTTAACATAGTATCAGAGCAATAGGTCATATGTTTGAATCTCACGTCCATCACAATTATTAAAAGAATTTTTACGTTTTAGGTCCAAAATTTAACCGGCATGTGAAAGGACGTGTTGAAGTATGAATACTTAAATTACACTATCTACAACAACTTAAACTTTTGAAGTAAGTGATTGTTTATGAATGAATAGTTTCCACAAATTGGCGGCTATACCAGCATATCATAAGTTGTAGATTCAAATCTATTCTAGGGATGGTTTTTAAAAATAGCAAAGTTATATTTACTAAATTTGTTTATCTTTGAATATTAATAAGACCCATATGTCACATCATATGAGACAGAAATTTGATAAAAATATTTGGTATAGACGAAGGATGAACCTTTATATCGATGAAAATTCACGTTTTGCAGAAAGAAGTAATAGATTTTGCAAAGGGACTGCTCAACGAGATGATAGCAGAGAAGCTTGACGTTGAAAACCCTTCCTTTGATCCATCAAACCCCATCTGCATTGCAGATTTAGGCTGTTCTGTTGGACCCAACACATTCTATGCAGTGAACAACATCATTGAAGCCATTGAACTGAAATACAAATCAAACCCTCAAACCCCATCATTCCATGTCTTCTTCAACGACCACACCACCAATGATTTCAACACTCTCTTCAAAACCCTCCCCACTAACCGGAAATACTTCGCCGCCGGAGTCGCGGGTTCTTTCCACCGCCGGTTGTTTCCAAACAGCACCCTTCATTTTGTTCACTGCTCTGCTGCACTGCACTGGCTCTCAGAAGTACCAAAGGAACTGAAGGATAGAAACTCTCTTGCATGGAATAAAGGAAGTGTTCTACACACAAGCCCAGTGAAAGAGGTTAGAGAGGCATATTCAGCTCAGTTCAGGAAAGATATGGAGGAGTTTTTAAGTGGTAGAGCACAAGAGCTTGTGCGTGGAGGGTTGATGGTGCTTATAGTGCAGGGTTTGCCCGATGGGGTCCTTCTTTCTGAGACTACTGTGGGTATGGGGTTCTGTGTACTTGCTTCGTGCCTCGACGACATGGCTAAGACGGTAGGGACAAATAGATGATGATCTACTATTCTGCCTTCACCAGTAGAAACATATTATATAATTCAAATACAAATCATTCATTATATGAGATAAAATAAAATCATTAAGAATTTAGTGGTAATTAATTATTAATGATAATAAGTTAACAATTCTAGGAAAATAACATGTCAAAATAATTTTTATACCCTCGGGCATATAATATTATTATTTACGTACAAAAAAAAATTACAAACCTTGCAAATCGATAGTGATTGGTATAAGAATTGAGTAACCTTAATCACTAAAAAAATTGAGTGNCCACAATTCTGCCTATAATTTCCTCACCAAGCTTTTGACCTGTGAAAGAAAATTTTATCCTCCTTTAATGAAGTTATTGACTATGGTTTTAAGAAAGCTGGACTGTTGATCCCGCTTTTTAATAAAAATAGAGTTGTTGACTCCATTTTTAGAGTGTTTTATTTTAATAATATTATTTAGAAATTGTTGTACATCAATGATTTTTTTAATACGACCATTAGATTGAAAGAAGTCTCCATCAATCATTATTTTTATTTTTTGAGAGAAAAAACGATTTTCTTTTATTTGCTAAGCAACACTTGATACATCATTATGGAGATGAGATAACAGAAAAGATGGAATCTCTTCTCTCCACAGNTTAAGTTAATAATAATTTAAAATTAAACAAGCAAATTACTGGGAAACAAGTGTATCTATGTAGACTTAAGCCCATCTAATGTTTATTGGTGCATGTGCCGATTTCATTGGACTTAGAATTTTTTTGGAATATGATAGCACACCTAAATTCGAACTAGTCATTCTTTAATTCATGTTTGAAACTTTTAGGTTTTCATTCTCATTATTTAGGTCACGTGTTAATAATGTTTACCTTAAACAACTTCCTTGTTCTTCCTTCTTAATCGCCTTTGGCCTTCAGCAGTTGCCTAGTCATCCTTTGTTCGGACAGAGTTTGTTATTGATCCCACATTTTGTGGAATCAGAGTTCCTTTCCGGGTACTAATATGTTTGAAGTGTTATTGATTATGACTCTTATATCTCTACTAGATGAACACATCCGGCTCGAGCATGTTCGATTCTGGTTTGCTGACTCTTAAATTTGCTCGGTTAGACTCGTTTGGCTTGGCCAGAGACACTTTGTCCCACCAAAAGACCCTCTCTATTACTTTGCATGTGTTACTTGTCATGTGTCTTTATTAAATGGTCTAATCATAAACAGATATATTCTGAATCCCCTTTCTTTCTCTCTCTTCACTTTTCATCCATTAAGTAGATTTTTCAGTTTTTTCAAGATTTCTAAAAAATAAACTATAGAATTAAAAGAAGAGTTATAGATATTCGGTAGTTGTTTCTCTTTAGTCCTAAAGTTTAATGGGTGAATATTGTAGGTTTTTAAAATATAGAAAAAGGTAGATGTCATTGCTCAAATTACATGGAGATAAAATATAGTTTACCAAGAAATAAACGAATGCAGTCAAGATGAATAATTGAATCACTCTCCCCTTTATGCTAAAAAATTATTAGTAATTATAGGGTTAATAGAACTTTTAGTCCTTAAAGTGTACATCTTTTATTAATTTTGTTCTCATTGTATCAATTTTGTTAATTTGGTTCCTAAAGTATTCAATTTGTATCACTTTGATTCCTACGTAGATGAACCTACAAGGTTTATCTTGACCCATGTGTCATTTTTTTAGAAGGTATAACGTGCTTAACACGTAATCATTCCGTCAAAAATTTAATAGTTCGCCTATGTAGAGACTAAAGTGACACAAATTAAATACTTTAGAGACTAATTTGAAAAAATCATTACAATTAAGACTAAATTGAAAAAGCAAATACATATTTTAAGAATTAAAATTGCTACCCAAATCATATTTAACTCTGATTGTCATTGTTATTGTTATTGTAGGGTGTTGTAAGTGCAGAAAAGGTGGACTCCTTCAACTTGCCTTTCTACCATCCCTCTTCAAAGGAGTTAAGGGCATTGATAGAGACAAATGGATATTTCCATGTTGAAAGAATAGAGAAATTGAGTACCCCCTGGAGACACGAAACACCCGATCTTCAACTTGTTGGCATGCATTTGAGAGCTGTCATCGGGGGACTAATTGAGGAACACTTCGGAGATGAGATCCTTGACGACTTGTTCCAACGCCACATTAAGAAACTTGGGGAGAGTGCATTCATATACGATGAGAAGTACCGTAAAGAGGCTAATTATTTTGTGTTTCTCAAGAGAAAAGTCGCTTGATCATAATACGAATAGTCTCTTTGTACGTGATGAATAGTGATGGTATAAGTCCATTCCAATGCTACGTACTACAAGGCTGGTGATATCGGTATAAATGTGAAAGGTTAAATAACGTCTGTAATGTGGCAAAACATTGTTATCAGGGTAAGTAATAGTAATCGTGTGTAATCCACTTTTTTTTTAAATATTTTATATGAATGATTGGATCAGTATTTTCGTAACTTAAACTATCTAAAATCAATTTGCTAAATATGTCGACACAAGTTTGAGGAATGTAAATTTTACTACGGTTCTTGAAATTTGGCCAAATTAGACGATCATTTAACATTTGAATAATAGTTCCACAACCTCCCAGGCTTAAAAATCATATCAAGCAGGCCCTCAGCTTAACTACCCTTACTAATACTCACAAAAAAAACGAGTTATTTACCGGTGTAAAATACTTTCTAAATAATATTAACGAAATACAGCAGTTTGAAACATTTTTAACAAACCAAGACACTTTTTATAAGCAAGTTCAACAATCCTGCTTTTGTTAAAAAATGGGATCAAAAATCCTCTTTTTAAATAAGAAAAAATGATTGGTAATAGCACGAAAACTATGGGCTTAACACATGAAAAGCGTGGTTATTAAACATGTGTTTTTTTTTCCCAGCAAGTTTTGTGCAATCCAATCCATCTCTCTCTCTCTCTCCACTTCTTACAACAACGATCTGATCGGTTCAACTGGATCCATAAATATCTCATTTAATCAGTAGATTAAAAAATCAATGATCTGATCGGCGCAACTGGAGGAAATTTGAAGACATATCTCCTCTGTTTCCTTCTCTTCTCTTCGTCTTTGTCTAACTTACCTTCTTTTTTTTTTCTTCTTCTAAATAAATTGTGGTCCGGTTGGGTGATTTGAGTTGGAGAGAGAGAGAGCGAGAGAGAGATCCTCTGTCTATAAATACCTTGAAACCCAGAATTATTCAGGAATCAAAGATGTGTGATTTCTTACTTTTCTTGTTTGGGATAGATTGATTCATGAAGTATTCCTTGTTCTTGGTGCTTTATTTCTTCTGGGTACTTGTTATTCTTGGTCCTGTTTACTAACCACAATTCTGCCTATAATTTCCTCACCAAGCTTTTGACCTGTGAAAGAAAATTTTATCCTCCTTTAATGAAGTTATTGACTATGGTTTTAAGAAAGCTGGACTGTTGATCCCGCTTTTTAATAAAAATAGAGTTGTTGACTCCATTTTTAGAGTGTTTTATTTTAATAATATTATTTAGAAATTGTTGTACATCAATGATTTTTTTAATACGACCATTAGATTGAAAGAAGTCTCCATCAATCATTATTTTTATTTTTTGAGAGAAAAAACGATTTTCTTTTATTTGCTAAGCAACACTTGATACATCATTATGGAGATGAGATAACAGAAAAGATGGAATCTCTTCTCTCCACAGCGTACAAAATTACAATTAATAGCATATTTAGTTAAATTATGGGCAACCACATTGCCTTTCCTACTAACCCAAAACCGATGAGAAAACTTGAAAGTTTGCCTTCAGGACATTAGTTTGATCAAGAAAATTACCAACTTCAGACAAGGACTGCTGCTCCTGCGATAAATCTTTAATAAAGGACTTGGAATCACCTTCAAGAATAATGCTAAATAACCATATCCACCGCTAATTGCACAGTTGTATAAGCAGCCAAAGCCTCCACACAATCTGTACTTAAAACACTTTCCACCTTCTGACTTAAACCTGCCAGAAAATTCTCAAAGCAATCCCTAATAACAACACCTACTCCAGAACAACTGAAAGAGCGAAAAACAGCCCCATCAAAATTTACTTTGCAATCACCAGATTGTGGTGGAATCCACTTAGATCTCTTCTCAGACANAACTTTTAGTCCTTAAAGTGTACATCTTTTATTAATTTTGTTCTCATTGTATCAATTTTGTTAATTTGGTTCCTAAAGTATTCAATTTGTATCACTTTGATTCCTACGTAGATGAACCTACAAGGTTTATCTTGACCCATGTGTCATTTTTTTAGAAGGTATAACGTGCTTAACACGTAATCATTCCGTCAAAAATTTAATAGTTCGCCTATGTAGAGACTAAAGTGACACAAATTAAATACTTTAGAGACTAATTTGAAAAAATCATTACAATTAAGACTAAATTGAAAAAGCAAATACATATTTTAAGAATTAAAATTGCTACCCAAATCATATTTAACTCTGATTGTCATTGTTATTGTTATTGTAGGGTGTTGTAAGTGCAGAAAAGGTGGACTCCTTCAACTTGCCTTTCTACCATCCCTCTTCAAAGGAGTTAAGGGCATTGATAGAGACAAATGGATATTTCCATGTTGAAAGAATAGAGAAATTGAGTACCCCCTGGAGACACGAAACACCCGATCTTCAACTTGTTGGCATGCATTTGAGAGCTGTCATCGGGGGACTAATTGAGGAACACTTCGGAGATGAGATCCTTGACGACTTGTTCCAACGCCACATTAAGAAACTTGGGGAGAGTGCATTCATATACGATGAGAAGTACCGTAAAGAGGCTAATTATTTTGTGTTTCTCAAGAGAAAAGTCGCTTGATCATAATACGAATAGTCTCTTTGTACGTGATGAATAGTGATGGTATAAGTCCATTCCAATGCTACGTACTACAAGGCTGGTGATATCGGTATAAATGTGAAAGGTTAAATAACGTCTGTAATGTGGCAAAACATTGTTATCAGGGTAAGTAATAGTAATCGTGCGTAATCCACTTCTTTTTAAAATATTTTATATGAATGATGTAACTTACTATCTAAAATCAATTTGCTAAATATGTCGACACAAGTTTGAAGAATGTAAATTTTACTACGGTTCTTGAAATTTGGCCAAATTAGATGATCATTTAACATTTGAATAATAGTTCCACAACCTCCCAGCCTTAAAAACCATATCACGCAGGCCCTTCGGCTTAACTACCCTTACTAATAATCACAAAAAAAAAACGAGTTATTTACCGGTGTAAAATACTTTCTAAATAATATTATCGAAATACAGCAGTTTGAAACATTTTTATCAAACCAAGACACTTTTTATAAGCAAGTTCAACAATTCCGCTTTTGTTCCTCTTTTAAAATAAGAAAAAATGATTGGTAATAGCATGAAAAATATGGGCTTAACACATGAAAAGCGTAGTTATTAAACATGTGTTTTTTTTTTTCCAGCAAGTTTTGTGCAATCCAATCCATTTCTCNGACGAGGAAGAAGAGGAACTCATTTTTCATTCCAAAAACATACATCTTTGCCATCACCAATTTGCCACATAAGGTCATTCTCAAGTAGCTCCTTTCCAGAAAGCAGGCTTGTCCAGACCCATGATGGTCTTGTTCCTCGTTTCGCCTTCATCAGGTCCTCATTCGGGAAGTAAATCGTCTTCATAAATTTTGCCCAATACGACTCCGGCTGATAGATAAGTCTCCAACATTTTTTTTCCAAGAGAGCTTGGTTGAACAACTTAAAGTCTTTGAAACTTATCCCCCCCGCTAACTTTGATTTAGTCCTTTTCTCCCATCTCCTCCAACAAATACCTTTCTTGTCATCATAGCCCTTCCACTACAAGCTCCTTACATAAGCATTCAGTTTATCACAGAAATTATTAGGAAACTCCACCACTAACATGACATAGTTTGATATAACGTGAATGACAGCCTTCATTAATACCTCCTTCCCAGCCTGTGAAAGACAACAAGTCTTCCAACCCTGCAACTTCTTCGTAATTCTCTCAAGAAGGTACCCAAATACCTCATTTCTGGATCTTTCCTAGGTAGTTGGGATGCCCAAGTACTTTGCGCAATGTTGGAGGGCCTATATTTCCAAAATTTGACAGAAGAACAGCCTTTGCTCCTCAGAGGTATTGTTAGAAAAGATGACCCCAGATTTCTAATGGTTTGCACACTAGCCTGACACCACACAATAGTTCTGCAAAAACCTCAGGAACTCCATCACACCCCCTCCTTAGCCTTGAGAAAGAATAAGGAATCGTCAGCAAAGAAAAGATGGGAGATAACAGGGCTTCTTCGTTTAATTCTAATTTCCATCAATTTCTTTTCCACCACCCCTTTCAAAAGCATAGCAGAGAAGACATTAGCGACAAAGATGAATAAGTATGGGGACAGTGGGTCTCCTTGTCTGATACCCCTCTGAGGCGAAATCACACCAACTTTCTTCCCATTCGACACAATTTGAAGTGTAACAGTGCTTAGACAATGCATAGTGAGGCTAACCCATCGACAATCAAAGCCCAACTTTATTATAATCACCTCCAAGAAATCTCATTCGACCCTATCATAAGCCTTACTGATATCCATTTTAATAGCAATCTCAGGGACTCTGCCTCTTTTCTTTCCTTTCAGATGATGAAAAACCTCATTGGCAATAACAATACTATCTTGGATCTGTCTGTTTGGTACAAAGGCAACTTGGTTTGGGGAAACAATAGGTCCCATCATTCCTTTCATCCTATTTGCCATCACTTTAGAAATCACCTTATATAAGAAGTTGCAGAGTGCAATTGGCCTAAACTGTGTAATAGCCTCAGGCGCTGTTTCTTTCGAGATTAGGACAACATTAGTAAAATTGATCTCCCTAATCATCTGGCCCCCTTCAAAGAACTCCTTAACCATGTTGGTTACATCCTGACCCACAATATACCAAAATCTATGAAAAAATAATCCTAGAAAGCCATTAGGTCTAGGAGCTTTTAAGGCTCCTAGCTCCCTCACAGCCTCCTACACCTCATTCTCAGTAATGGGTCTCAAAAATTGCATATTCATCTCCTCAGTAACTTTGTTTTGCACCGCATTCANTACTTAAAACACTTTCCACCTTCTGACTTAAACCTGCCAGAAAATTCTCAAAGCAATCCCTAATAACAACACCTACTCCAGAACAACTGAAAGAGCGAAAAACAGCCCCATCAAAATTTACTTTGCAATCACCAGATTGTGGTGGAATCCACTTAGATCTCTTCTCAGACACATTCGGCATATGATAGCTCAACCTCGAACAATTAACAGCTTGAAAATGGTGAAGATATTCCCTTGAGAACTGGATAATTTCCCCCGGTGATTTGGAGCAATGTTCAACTCGAAACTTGTTTCTATTGAACCACATAACCCATATAATAACAGCTATCAATACTACCTCTTCAGAAGTTACCTTCTCAGAAATATATACAAACCAGTCTTGAATATTCAATACTCCCTCTACTGGAAATTGAATTACAGTAGACTCCCATACCGATTTCGCAAATGGGCAAGTAACAAACAAATGGAAGGAAGATTCACCAGGATACCCACATAAGTAGCATTCATTATTTACCATCAACCTTCTTCTATGTAAATTGCACTGAGTATGTAAGATATCAATAAATAATAGCCAGAGAAAATTTTTGACCTTGTTAGGCACATGAAGAGACCAAATGAACAAACCAAGCCAACGATCCATTGTATTACTTGAAGTCTCCATCAATCATTGAAAATCACATTTAATCCAATGGCTACATTGAATTAGGTCTGATTGCTCATAATTTTAAGACAAATTAGCATTTTTTGAACAAAGCAAAACAGGATAGATATGGCATTAAGTCAAAAAATTTAGGATACAATCAGTCAAAAAAAAAGCCGTAAGCTCGAGGGGGTGGGGAGCCAAACCAATTCACCGGAAGCGAATTGTTTAGCATATTGGCTACCCAATGAGCAGCCTTGTTAAGGGTTCTAGGCTTGTGTAAAAAGCTAAAGTTATATAACCTAACATAATGTCTAATGTCCTCAATAATTACCCTAATTTCCCACAGAGAGACGTCTTCATTGGAGCTGAGTTTGATGATGTTGAGGCAGTCATTCAAGATAGTTGCATGGGTGATCAGTTGTGCTTCTGCAAGGAGGCATGCTTGTTTCATAGCCTCAGCCTCAGAAGCCAGAATCGACGGTGTAGGGAAAGATTTTGTACTACCAAATTCAAATACACCCCCATCTTTACATAGCACTGCTCCACAAGCTGCCTTTGCCGTTTTTGGTTTGAAGGCCCCATCACAAAAAATACAAGCTCCATCTTCATCCTCCTGTGGTCTGGTTTCCCTCATCACTACCTCCTACTGTCTTTTTGATAGCCTCTCTTTACCAGTTCTAAGTTGATCCTTCCACACTGCCTGAGCACACAAGACTGTAGCGTAAGCATTAACCTCCTCCATATTGAAAATGAACTGGTTCCTTGCCTTCCATATTATCCAACCCACTGTGGCCATTTTCCCTACGATGTCTAGTCTCCTTTGTGCCCCCTTCACTAGCAGTAGGAGTGTCGATGTTCTTTGGGCCACTGACATGAATGCTGAGTCTTCTCCCTGTAATAAGAGATCCATTCCAAATCAGACCCTCTTGGTCCACTCGCATTCAAACAAAATATGTTCAATTGACTCTGGGGCTAGCATACAGATTTGGCATATAGGCGATGCAGCACACTTTCTTTTGAACAAATTTTCATGAGTGGCAAAGATATTTTGACAAGCTTTCCACCAAAAATGCTTGACCTTAGGAATAGGCTTCATTTTCCAAATGGATTTCCATAGTTTAGGGTGGAGGGAAATTGAGGAACTGACCTCCGACTGTGCAGATGCTAGCTTATTCTCCAGCATATACCCATATTTAACCATATAGTTACCCTTGCTAGTAGGCCACCAAATTCTCTTGTCTCTACTCCCATTCATAGGTAGAGGGATAGTGTGAATTGCTTTCAGTTCCTTTCTTGAAATGACTGTGTCCAGATTAGAGGTATTCCATCCTTTGGGAGTATCCTTAATGATATCTGTAACCCTTACAATGGGGCAATTCTGGGGCTTTGGAGATTGAATAGCAAGACGAGGAAGAAGAGGAACTCATTTTTCATTCCAAAAACATACATCTTTGCCATCACCAATTTGCCACATAAGGCCATTCTCAAGTAGCTCCCTTCCATAAAGCAGGCTTGTCCAGACCCATGATGGTCTTGTTCCTCGTTTCGCCTTCATCAGGTCCTCATTCGGGAAGTAAATCGTCTTCATAAATTTTGCCCAATATGACTCCGGCTGATAGATAAGTCTCCAACATTTTTTTTCCAAGAGAGCTTGGTTGAACAACTTAAAGTCTTTGAAACTTATCCCCCCCGCTAACTTTGATTTAGTCCTTTTCTCCCATCTCCTCCAACAAATACCTTTCTTGTCATCATAGCCCTTCCACTAGAAGCTCCTTACATAAGCATTCAGTTTATCACAGAAATTATTAGGAAACTCCACCACTAACATGACATAGTTTGGTATAGCGTGAATGACAGCCTTCATTAATACCTCCTTCCCAGCCTGTGAAAGACAACAAGTCTTCCAACCCTGCAACTTCTTCGTAATTCTCTCAAGAAGGTACCCAAATACCTCATTTCTGGATCTTTCCTAGGTAGTTGGGATGCCCAAGTACTTTGCGCAATGTTGGAGGGCCTATATTTCCAAAATTTGACAGAAGAACAGCCTTTGCTCCTCAGAGGTATTGTTAGAAAAGATGACCCCAGATTTCTAA